TTTAACCGCGCAATATTTAATTATATATTCACGCAAACCGTAGTATTTAACCGCGCTATGCTTGGCGTGTTAAATATTTTTTTTGACACGAAACAGCTTTTTCGTAGTCGTGCAGCTTTTCAGATTGACAAGACAACACACAAAACGTAGTATTCAACCGCGCTATATATATTCACACAAAACGTAGTATTTAACCGCGCTATATTTGGCGTGTGAAATATTTTTTTCTGAAACGAAACAGCTTTTTCGCAGTCGGGCAGCTTTTCAGATTGACAAGACAACACATAAAATGTAGTATTTAACCGCGCTATATATATTCACTTATTTATCAAACATCTTCCTCCTCTAACAATGTAGTTTTCTAATAATTTTAGAGTGAAACTCGAAAGTAAACGTTAAAATTTTTTATTTTTTAATCCAATACTATTTTTGATTACATGAACGGGAGGGAGAAATTCATTAATTTACTCAACTGAAAAAAATTAAATATCAAAAAAATGTAACAATGTTGTGGAAACATAATTTTATTTGATACATTTTGCAACATAAACAAGTACAAACACTTATTACAAAAAATATTACGAAAACAAAACACTAGGTGTATCCTTGATAGTTGGGTACATTAGACGAACTTGCACCAGGAGCTGGATTACCACCGCCACCCAAACCAGCTGAAGGACATTTACGACGGTCGTGTCCTGCACATTTACGCGCATAAACGGTATCACCAACATCCATTTGGTTATGTATACGCGTTCTCTTTTGCACTTGTAGCTTGCGCAAATAATCCTTGTTACACAGCATTTTAAAAGGTTCCAGCTGCCAATAATGCTTAGCACCCAGTGGCTGCAACTGTCCACTATATGTGTTTATGTATGCAGCAACACTGTATTGCCTATCAACATAGTTGGTTACCCCTAAACCTGTTTTTTGAAAGCACTTCATGGCATGTGAGCACGACATGTGGTAGATGGTCCATTTCTCACATGAACACAACCTGCTGGCTTCATTTACGGTGTGTAGATTATTCCCCTGGTATTGATGGATAGCGGTGCGAACTTAAAAAATACCCCGGTCGTGATCATACTGTAAATATGAATGCCAATGTGCTCGCCTCCTGTATTTCTCAAATCTTCTCATCGGTATTGGCATAAATTCAACACCCCTGTCCATCAGTTCCGATGCACCTCTATGCCTTTCAACAAACCTCTCCGCCATCTGTTTGAATGTCATCCGGACCATGACAGTGACAGGCAATCCACGTGCAGACTTCAATAACTCGTTGAATGACTCCGACACATTTGTAGTCAGGGCTCCCCACCGTCTGCCACCATTAGTATGCAATGTCCACTTGTGAAGCTCATGTCGCATCAACCAATTATAGGCTCTTTCGTCTAACTGCCAGATCGATTCCATGCGCCTCCCGAATTTGCACTACTGGTGCTCAGTTGCAGCCATCCACATTAAATCATGCAAGTCCTTGTTGGGATATTTCTTCTGGAAATCGTCCTTCAGGTGCCTCACACAGTAACAGTGGTATGCATAGGGTTCTTGCCATTTAGGCAAATGCTGTACATAACTTAAAATACCGCCACGCCAATTAGATATTAGACAAATACCTGAACGTTGTTTGACAACATGCAACTTCAAGTGGTTCAAAAATAGCGTCCACGTCTCTTCGCTTTCATTGGCACAAATGGCAAAAGCTAGTTGAAATATTTTTCCATTGGCATCTACTGCAACGGCGATCAACAACTTAATATCATACTTTCCATAGACATGAGTACCGTCTATGGAAATTACCGGACGGCAATGCACAAAACCATCAATTGCTGGTTTAAATGCCCAGAACACGTATCTGAATATATATTCCGGTATTCCTGGACACCGCTCATGCTTCCATTCAACAACAGTGCAGCCATGTACCTGGGTAGAGATGAAAATGACTTATCCCAGACACCATAAATAATTTTAAATGCACGTTTGCACCCGAGATATGCCTTTCTTTTAGTAATAATACACCCATATTCCTGGTGGACAGATGTAATACACTCTTTGATCTTGTACCTAATGGACACTTCCAAGTGTGTAATCAAGACAAGAGAAATCAAGTCAACATCCAAGTTGAAGTGATTCTCATTGAATGTGTCCATTTCACAAATGTGGGTGCTAATATATTTACCCATTTTCCACAATCCTGTTTCCTTCTTGCTCGCACGCAGCATCCAGTTACAACCCATAAAGTATCTACGGCATATTCATTCAGTTGCTTCTTTGGAGTATTTATGTGTTAATGGAGCACTAGTTGTTTGGTCATATAATCGGGACTAACTTAGAATGGGCGACTCTCAATAATGGTTCTAGTATGTTCAAGAATTAAGGTGTGGTGCCTAAGGTTTTATTGGGTTAGTTGTGTGGTTGAGGATTTAGTTTTCAACTGAGTGTGAAAGATACTTGGAGTATTTCTATGTTATCACCGGGTCTGTAGTGCAGTGTTAGAGAAATAGAAGGAACAATGTCAGATTCGCAGAAGGTCTCATCGGAGCGGACGTATCAGTTAGAGGTACTATTAAGTTCATGAAAGGGTATAAAATGGCTTATGGGTATTGAGACGACATGGTCTTGTGATATGGGGATCACTCTATACCTTCGGAGTTGACTCCCATACCATCATCTCATGACACTCTTTTACGTTGTACATTTTACAAGCCCTGGATAGGCGAGCTTTATCGGAAAATACATGCCCTTTGCCAGCACCGTTGGTCTAGACTCATCCCACATTGTTGACCGAATTTCGTCAAGATCTCTTATGAGGGCATCCACATCTAGCATACTTGGCAAATTATCAAGGTAGGAAATATGCCTTGAATGAAACGGGATGTGGGACTCGTACACTCTTGGTCTAACGGGAGGTGGAGGAGCATGCTCCCTCGTCAGCTCAGGTTCGACATTCGCTTCCTCCTCATCATCACCCTCGTCAGGGAAGGGTGTGTCATCTCCAGACTCATCGGCATTGTTATCATAATCACTATTATCTTCCTGACTCTGCGCATCTTCCAAATCACGAGTAAATATGTCATCTACGGGCAACTGAGTGAGGTCAAGAACATCAAGCTGCTCGTTTTCACTACACAAACAACAAAATGATAAGCTACTCAAATTGATAAATACTTTATATATAGCTATATCACTTCACTTACAAGTCGTACTGTGTTGACATTCCATGATGGACATTTTTCTGTTGGTGATGACTCCCGGATGGACCACCGTGATCCAACACGCCAAAACTACGCATATTCCAACTGGGCGTGGGGTCATAACTTGTAAAATTCATATCTGGACGGTACCCCCTGTGGAATATATGAGTGTTAATACAAATTCAATTCAAGAAAAAATAAACATCGTAACACAAAGGAAAATTGAAGTTTACCAGTCGTCTTGTGGATTATGTAAAGTAGGAGAGAAATTATTTCCTCACTCCTCGTGCCCGCTGAGATAAGTTTAGATCCGGCCAAACTCTTTCAGCCGGAACCTGTTGGGCTAAAACTGCTCCAGAATAACCACCCGATGATTGAGGGTTATCCTTGCTTTGCGCAACCTCATTATTGCGAACGTCTTCAGCCTTGACGTACATTTCCAACAATTTTATCACAATAAATTCCCTGTATTCATCCGGAAACCCCAAAAAAATCTCTCAGAGTTTCATCGTCTTCGATGTTAAACTCAGCATAACAAGCAACCCCTTGCGGAGTCACAGAATACGAATATCTTCCGGTTATTTTAAGATTCACCGAATGTTGCTCAATCTCATTTTATTGCATAACAACGATACCAGTCTATCGTACTCCATTGTAAGTGGCAACTTAACATGACTCTGTGGAGATAAACTATAGCTTACTGAGTTATTCGCCACCACAAGCTCCCCCCCCTCCCCCCCCCCCCACCCCCACCTCCAATATAAGAAACCCTTACTTTTCGCTCTTCAGACATTATGAAAAAAGCTTGAGAATTTAACAACAAGAAAAATTTATCACGAAGTTGGAGTATTTCTGAATGATAATTCTCAAAACCCTTAACGCCTTTATGTAATGCAATGCCCAATCCGGGGGGTCAAATTTTTGGAAGTAAAACGCGGTTTAAAAGGGCGTTTTACATATTTGAATTATTGTTATGTCAGTTAAGCGCAGAAGAGTTATTGGTGGGCCCACTAAACATGTAAAGCGCGGTTTAATACCACGTTTTATATAAAACGCGGTATTGAGCTGCGCTTTATATAACAGTCTTATCAGCTACTATGTAAATCACGGTTTGTTACAACGTTTTATATAAAATACGGTAAGAGCCGTGCTTTACCTTAACGTCCCAAACGGCCGTTAAGGTAAAACGCGCTTCATAACCGCGTTTTATATAAAAATGTAACTTTTTTTTTACACTTAAAAAAGTGTTTTGAGTCCAAAAGAACCACATTTAGGTTCCGGACTCAACCTTAACCACAACTCGCCTGCTAATTCTTTCATATCAGTTAGTCGGATTTTCACAACTTGCCTGCTAATTCTTTCACATCAGCCAGTCAAACTTTCACTTAATTTTACTCGAGCTTTGTCTAACATCTTGATCATGGGTAAAAAGGGATCGAAGAGATAGCTGGTTTTTTTAAATATTCTTGCAGACTTATTAATTGTTAAGTTCAAGACCACCTTGAAATATATGATTGATGATCCATAATGATATTGAATTTAGTGGTAGGATACCTGAACAAGGACAAATAAGAGGTTCACATAAGGAGATATAAACGCCAATAAAAGTGACAGTAAAATATTACATAGGAGCGTCGATTATAGTTTATAATGAGTTTATATTCTATCTATTGATAGTGTAAAGATTGACCGACAACATATAACTCTTATATCAAGCCTGATGTGGTAACATGACGAATAGAGTAATAGCCTACTATCACAAGATAAAATACACATATACTACAAATATTTACAGTTTTAGTGTATATAATTTAAACTCTTTCATTATTTAAGATTGATAAAAAGATCTAAGAGACTTAAACACATCATATTAATTATTTAACATTCTGTACCAAAATGAAAGATGCAGTAAACAAGGTGCAATGCCACCATAACATGTTTACAAAAGCTAAAAAACTTTATAACCAGTGTGCATATAATAACTAATTATTCTGGTGATCTGGGAATTTCTTGAGCAGCATCTAAGCATAATCAGGATGCCTTGATCTTCGGCTGTGATGGAAGCAACTGCACAAGTCAAATAAAACATCTCAGTACAAGGAGATATGCTTCGCCGAAGCAGGGTTCGTACTTGTGACGTACACATAACTCATCTGTCACGCGCTGCGCACTTAACACTTCAACAAAGCTCTAGGGTGGACCCCTTTATAACTTCTAAACTTTCATTATTAATCATCTCTACTTAAAATTTTCTTAGAAACATAGGTGATGAAAAGAAGATGAACGTAAAACTTGTCGTAGGAATTAATGCATACCTGATAACATGAGATCAGTGAGCTCACGAATCCAAAGGCTCCCGTTACACGAGGAGTGACTTTCTTGGGTGCCAATTGAAGCAATCCAACAGCTACCACTATATCCATCCCTGCCTTAATCAGGGCTAGAGATCTCTCATTTGACTTCTGAACCTTACTCTGATATTGCTCATTCTGCAATGAAAGATTCACCAAACATCAAAATATGAAGAACAATCTCCACGCACAAAATTTTCAACCTAAGTGCACAAAATTTTCAACCTAAGTGCACAATGCTTGAAATGGCCAAACCTTATGCTTATCAGTATTTTTTAGTTCCTTTTCCAGCTTTTTCAGTGATCCTGAAAGCCTTCCAAGTTCCCCAATCTGGAATAACAACGAATTTTAGGAGCAATAGCAATAAATCCAATTTGAGGGAAGATAACATGCTATACAACTGACCTCCACCAAGGTGGTACAAATTGAGGAGCCCATCCAACAAAAGAGAGAGATCCTGCCAATTAACTCTGTGCGTTCCTTGTTCTGTATTAAACAAAGGAAAGAATGTAAGGATATTTCCCCCCTTCAGTATCTTTCATAATAACTTCAGGACTAATGATACAAAGTAATTCGATACCTTGTAAATGCCTGTCCTTCCAAGCCAGACAATTTGATCCAGAAACAAGAAGGTTGATAATAATGCATTTTTTGACTGAAATCGACATGTATTGTTAGAAAGGAAATACAAGAATTAACAAGAAACCGAAAGGACAAAATACGGATATGTACCTTTCCCAACAAAATGAGTGGAAGTGGGGTTCCTGGGGCATTTGGGCTAATAAGAGCGTGCAGATCGTTGATAAACTATAGTAGAATAAGATGTCATATGAACCTCCAAATGAGAATACAAAACAGAAATTTTGATACCCGTAAAATAGACCATGTTATCATGAATATTCATTAAATTCTCAATCCTGACCTTGAAAAGACGGAATACTTTCCTTGCTAAACTAGTTGATTTGTCAACATTTTGGGCAGTGCCAGGCTGTCCATCACTCAGGAATTTTGAACCATATTGTATAGCCCTGCATATCTTGTCCCTTGCCTCTGCTTTGTTCAAATACAAGACTGCAAGCGCAAGCTCCGCTCGGGCGACATCTAAGGTGCTCATTTTACTCTAAGGATACTGCAAAATGATAAGAACACATGGTTGAAGCATAACACTGTTAATATCTCTCATCAACCCAGAGTATTTGCTTTGTTACTTAAAAAAAAGAAGGACTATTAGATGAGCTCCCCACGATATGTTTATGGTTCCTGGGTTTCCAGGCAACTCCATGCATGTGTTCATTCCATCAGTTGCATGTTTTCTTTCAAGAACGAGAACATGAAGTTCACAAGGTTTGCAGGAGAGTGTTACAGGGTTAACCAACTTGACGACTCAAATATAGGAACGGTAACCTGCTTGAACATGTCTAGATGATGATAAATAACACACTAAAATCGTGACTATAACAGAAAAATATATACTCAAATGACACTATTAACCGAGATCATCTGAGAAGCATGTGACCAGAATTAAGGAAAGAAAGCTGACTGCGGGAGAAAGAGGAAGAAGTAGTATTACAATGCTATATGTTTACAGAGAAGTATATTCATCTTAAATTAGACCAAAACAAGGGAAGAAAAGCACATTCTATAAACCAGCAGAGGTCACTATATAGTATTATTAAGTGTGAGGGGGGTAGCATATGCAATAAATCTAAGAGCCTAAGTCAAGATTACTGATATGGTAATAACGATGAGCCAACTGGGAAAAAGCTAGTTTTAGGTGCCCTGGACCTTCAACATTTCCCTTTTGCATCAAGCAGAAAATACCATTTTGCCCACACCAAAAATCTTTAGCGTGCATACAGTATGGATGAAGAACCATCCATCTTAAAATATTTGGAAAGTCCACGCAGAAATGTGGCTCATTGCTGTCTTTATTGTGAGCTCACTCTCTTTTTCCATTTGTTCACAAGAGTCAGTTTTCACAATATAGTAACTCGGGCAAATTGAATGGGAGCCTTGGAGCAACGGTAAAGTTGTCTCCGTGTGACCTATAGGTCACGGGTTCGAACCGTGAAAGTATCCACTAATGCTTGCATTAGGGTAGACTGTCTACATCATACCCTTGGGGTCCGGCCCTTCCCCCTGACCCTGTGTGAATGCGGATGCTTTGTACACCAGACTGCCCTTTTTAACAACTCTAGCAAATTGTGTATCAAGTTTTTCTTTCACATTGGTCAACCCATTAATTTGTTTATTAACAAAACTATGGGTCCTACTATTCTCTTATCTTTCTTTCCCTCTCTCTCCGCACCTTTTACAACTGCGTCTGTGCAGGTTCAGAGGCACTCAAGTTGCAACGTGAAAATAATAATTATTACAAATAATATCTCACAGATCAATCTGCTTCACTTATCATCTAGTATCACATTACACCCCCAACCCCCACACCCCCCAAATCCAAGAAATCTAATTTAATCCATAATGTTGTGTTTGTCCCAAGGGGCCAGAGTTCTGTGCATCGGGTTGCCATTGTTACATCTTAAACAAGCAGCCCCAGAACATAAATTAAATTTGAATGAATCTACCACAAGCTTGACTTCCCTTAAAACATACTCATTCCTCTTCAATTCACCCAGCTAACACACTTACCTAATACACTTGAGCTCATCCCAACTATAGCATATCATTTCCAGTACAAGTCGTCAAAACCAAAACCATGAGATGATAGTGAACGGTCAAATTTCAGATAAATGACCATCTTTACCTCAGATATCCATAAACACAGGAAAATAATCTTAATTCCAATTAAATCAAGTGAACCCTAGAAAGTAAATACAAGAAAACTCAACTAAAAACTATATAAAGATTCAAGCTTTTGATAGGCAAAAGATCAAATTCTATACATTTGACCATATTTACCTCAGATACTAAATAAACACCAACACAAACATTAATTTAAATAAAATCAAATGAACCCCACAAAGTAGATACAAGAAAATTCACCAAAAAATTACATAAAGATTCAAGCTTTTGATAGGCAAAAGGTCAAATTCCATATGTTTGACCATCTTTACCTCATAAATACATAATATTAATTTCAATTAACCAAAGTGAACTAAATACAAGAAAATTTCACTAAAAACTACATAAGATTCAATAGCTTTTGATAGGCAAAACGTCAAATTCCATATATTTGTCCACCAAATAAATAAACACCAACACCAACATTAATTTCAATTAACCAACGTGAATCCCAGAAAGTAGATTCAGCTAAAAACTACATAAAGATCCAAGCTTTTGATAAGTAAAATAAAACCCAAGAATCAAAGATTCAACAGCTCCCCTAAAAAAAACTGACTACAGAATTTACCCCAGAAAACAAGAATCTTTGTAACTGAGATCAAAGATGAAGAAAAGGCCAAGTTTAAAGGGAAAGAAAACAGAATATTTACAGCATAAAGTAGCATACCAAATGAGGAGAAATAGTCCAAAGCAGAAGGCTGGGGTTCGTCAATTTTGAACAGGAAAATACACATGTAAGCAGGTAAGTATAAATATTTAGAAGGAGAGAGAGAGCTTACTGGGGTTTGTGCCACAGCTCTTTTGCCTCGAAGTTCTCAATTCCTTTATCTCTCATGCGAAATAAATAGTAGTCGTACAAATGTAGAATTGCTGTGTCTGAACTGTTCCTCTTATAATCTTGTAATCTTGTTCCCATGATTTGATTGATAGAAAGGGTAAGATTGGGAGACAATTTTTGATAAGGGCTTGGTTGGTCCTCTCTTTTTCCTTTTTATATGTATTTTAAAAAAAAATTGAATCGGATTGTGCATAAGTATAATAACTTTGCCGATTGAGATTTAGGTTTGTTTGTTTGCACTTAATGAAAGCCTTAATCATCATTCAGATCTCAAATATTAAGTGTGTTTGATTTTAAAGCTCGAAACTTGATAATTTTGATCTTAATTTTTAAGTGTGTTTTTTTTACTTCATAACCACGTAATGGGTCTGAATAGGTTTGTATGATTAAGATCTATAACCAAGACTTAATTTTATTAAGATGCTATCATCCACAATTATTACTAACTGCCGTCACCGCCTACCATTATCAGCTACCACCACCACCATCCTCAATCATAGCCGCCACCACTACCACCACCCACAACCATCATTCTCAATCATAACCACACACTCACACAACTCAACTACCACAACCAACCACCCCATCACCATCAATAACCATAGCGGAAATCACCCATTATAAACTACCACCACCTATCATCACCTTCCTCAATCCCCCCCCCCCCCCTCCCATTTATTAACTATCATCACCCACCATTATCCTCTACCATAATCGCTATCGCTACCATTCACCACTAGCTACTACCTGAAACCACCACCTTCAACCAAAATCACCACCAACCACTGCCTCTAGCCGGCATTCACATGCACCTCCATTAGCTATTACCACCATCAATTACCACATACATACAGATATACATATATATATATATATATATATATATATATATATATATATATATATATATATATATATGTATATATATATAC